ACATTCTAGGAGAGTATGGAGGCATCACAACTCACGGTGCGCACACTGAGAAAAAATGGATTTGTGATCAACTTGGAGAAAAGTCATCTTCAACCAACACAGAGGTTGATTCATCTGGGAGTAGAGATAGACACCATCATGGATCGGGTTTTTCTTTCTCAGGAAAGAGAACAGAAGATTCGATCTCTGTTGACAGAAGTGCTATGCCAAACCAGGAAAGAACTTATGACACTACCCAAACTTCTGGGAATGTTGGTATCCTACCAAGAGATTGTATAATGGGCTCATTTTCCATGCCAGGCCTCTGCAGAGATTTCTACTTCCCTACCTGAAGGCTATAGCGCGCAAGAGGTTCAAGGTGTTACAACTGCCAGAGAAAGTACGTTTGCAGCTGAAATGGTGGCTGAATCCTTGTCTGTTCAAACTGGGATCTCCTCTAAGAGCTCCTCCAAGGGTCCTGATGACCATGGAGGGCAAATCAAGACCAGCAATACAGGTGGGGTGCACACTTGGGAGGGCAAATGGTACAGGGTGAATGGTCTCAGATCCTCCAAGGGTCCTGATGACCATGGATGCGAGCCTCTCAGGTGGGGTGCACACTTGGGCAAATGGTACAGGGTGAATGGTCTCAGGAAGAAACACTGAGAAGCATCAACTTTTTAGAATTCAGGGCAATAAAGCTGGGCCTTCAGAGGTTCGGAGGCTCAGCAGACAGTTGTCGGGTCAACATGTGCTTGTCAAGACGGACAATATGACGGCAAAGGCCTACGTGAACTGTCAAGGAGGAACCAGGGTGCGGACCTTGCTCAATGAAGCGGCCGAGCTAATGACCTGGGTGGAAAATCACCTATTGTCCTTGAAAGCGACCCACATGGCAGGGAAAGAACGTGCTGATGGACTGGTTAAGTCGGAGATGATTAGACCAGTCAGAGTGGGAGCTGAACAAGCAAGTTTTTCTTCAAATCTGCGACAGATTTGGAAGGGTGACGATGGATTTGTTTGCGACGGAGTCAAACTGTCAAGGTCTGGAATTTTTCTCCAGAACGAGAAACGACCAAGCCAGAGGAACAGATGCTCTGACTAGCGAATGGCCACAAGGTCTTCTATATGCATTTCTACCAAAACAGATGTTACACATGGTGATTCAGAAAATATGCCAGCAACAGGCAGAAGTGATGCTGGTAGCTCCCTTTTGGCCACGAAGAGCGTGGTTTCAAGATCTAAAAAAGTTATCGATAAGAGAACACTGGCAGCTTCCCCTCTCAGGAGGACTTGTTAGTGCAAGGCATGACACGACACTTGCAACCGGAATTGTTCAGGCTCACAGCGTGGAGGTTGAGCAGGAAGTGCTAGCGGGAATTGTTCAGGCTCACAGCGTGGAGGTTGAGCAGGAAGTGCTAGCGGGAATTGTTCAGGCTCACAGTGTGGAGGTTGTGCGGGAAGTGCTAGCGGATATTCTGACAAGGTTATCAGAAAGAAATCCACTAATAGAGTCTACAGTGCCACCTGGCAAGTCTTCCACTCCTGGTGTATTGAGAATAAGTTAGATACCCTTAAGGCCTCAGTTAAGGCCATTCTGCGTTTCTTTCAGGATGGTTTAGACCGGCGGTCGGCAACCCGTGGCTCCGGAGCCGCATGCGGCTCTTTGGAACGCTTGCCGCGGCTCCGGGAGGTGACTGTGACAGGCGGCGGCGGAGGGGGGACGCGGGGCTGCGGACAGGCGCGCAGCCTGGCCGGGCCCCCGATCGTTGAGGGTTAGGGTCCTCGCACGCGGCGCGCGGGCGGGCGAGCGTGAGGCGTCTCCTTCATTTCGCCCTCCAGCGTCACGCGGCGACCCAGCGCGCTTGCGTGAGCCAGAGACCGAGAGAAAGAGCGGGCCTCTCCTCCTCGCTCGGCAGGTGAGGGAGACACGGGGGCTGAGGGGGGGCCGCGGGTCGTCACGAAGGCGCTGAGTGTGTGCAGGCGGGGGGGTGGGGGGAAAGCTCCCGGCTCCCTCCTCCACATCGCGGGGTAGAAATCCAATCTCCTCCTG